TCCACATACTGTGCTGTGTGTGTGGTGCTGAGGACAGAAGCCAGGGAGGGCCTCTACCCCGGAGCAGTACCCCAGCCCTACAGCCTGTGTTTTGCTTTGTCCTGCTAGACTGGGTATTTTTTGAGGGTAAGGTTGTGTTTTATTCAAGAAAGTCCCTGGAGCACGGTTGTCAAATGTTTGTCAAATGACTAACCAAGAGCAAAGGTTGGAAAGGGAGATAGAAGAATACAGAGCAGCGCACAGCAGGGCTGTGGGTGCTCCGGCGGTCAGACTCAGAACACCGCGGCAGGCCAGGTGTCTCGGCGTGGATATCACAGTAACATTCTCAGAGTCTGCAGGGACTGTAGCTTCTGCTCTCCAGGCAGAGGTGGAGAGGGTTCAGCACACCGCCTTCCGTTTAAGGAAGCGAGGAGCAGGCGCTTTTGAGCCCAGTTGGTGCTGTGTCACCGGGCCTCACGCTCCTGGTAATCTGGGTATCCGGATCAGCTTGGCCCCTGGGGCTCCTCGGGAGTAATCATCTTCCTTCCTGTCACTGGGAAGCTGGGTCATTCGCCTTTAATGAGAGCTCAGTCAGGAATCATCTTCGATGGCCTCGGCCTCGGGGATGGGGACAACACCTCGCACCCTCACTCGTGTGAGTGCACAAGCAGGAACTACGACCGAACACTACTGCACCCACAGGGGTGTAGGCCCCGCAGATAAGCAGGAATGAGCCAAAATGTAAACAGCACTTTTATTCCTGAGGTGTTGTTGTTTCTGGGGTATTTAATTTTAAATACCTGGGTCTCGCTATGTAGTTCAGGCTGGCCTCCAGCTCACTGCATAGTGCCTCGAACCTGTGGCGATCCTCCTGCCTCAGCCTCCCGAGTGCTGAATACTTTTGAAGATTTTCTAAAATTTTTCTGAGTGGGACAGGAGGGTTTTGCTTTTGGTTTCTCAGTCAGTCGAGGGAAACAGTGGCCGGCAGAGTGAGAGTGCTGTGAGTGCCTGGAGATGTGAGCTCTCGGAGGGAGGGAGCTCGGCCCTGGCACCATACCCACGAAGTGCTCCTTCCTATTTGCGGAGAGGGGACCTCTCTCCCCGAGGGGCTGCCCCCTTGCTGCCCGTGAGAAGACCGAGTCCCGCAGTGGCTGTGCTGTGGCGGGCGTCTGCGGGGCCTCCCTCCCTGCCCCTCCCTGCCGGCCGCAGTGTTTTGCAAAGCTCCTGCGTGCAGCAGGCAGCTCCAGAGAAGCCACAGCCCTGCGGTGCTCAGGGACAGCTTCCTCCGCGCCTCCGCGCCTTTGCCCGCCTGAAGTTCACTGTGGAGTGGAAATTATGAAAGCTTTCTGTCTCTTTTTTCTGTCAGCCCACGGGTGACAGTGACTCCTGCATCAGCCCGGGGGACGGAACAAGGGCTGGGCAGATCGCAGCTGAAGACCTCAAACTCACTGGTGCCAGCTGTGGGAGCCTTACTTTTGCTCTCCTGTATTTCTCGTTCATCCACACCCGGGGTGTGCTCTGTGCACAAGGAGAAACACCATCTAGCGCCTTTGCACGGGTGTAAGAAGGTTGTGCCGGGCGGGTCCTCAGCTGCAGGGGCTTTGTCCTCTCGCAGAGGCTGGCTCTGGGGCCAGCAGAGGAAACCAGTGCTCCTTTTGCAAGAAGAGAGGAGCCAGCTGGGCGTGGTGGCCCACACCTGTAATCCCCACACTCGGGAGGCTGAGGCAGGAGGATCGCCTCAGGACAAAGGGGTCTTGGTCTGTGTGGATTCTGTCCCAGCTGCTTGCCTGGTATGAGCACAGGCTGGGGCTGGTGGGACCACCGGCGTCGCCTGAGCTCTGGGGCTGGTTGGGGTTACTTGCCGTGCTTCGTTTTGGGGAAGTTATCAGCAGCTCATGCTGGTGGCGGTGGTGATTTTGGAGAACTCTGACTTCCGTTTTCTCTTCCTTTCTCTACTCTCTCTGTGGTCACCCCTTCCTGCTCTCCACTGTCCCTGCTGCTGTCACTGCTCAGTGTCGCCCCTGGTCCCGGTCACCTTTGCCTCCCCTGTCCTTGGGGTCCCCGCCACCCTGCCGCCCCGGGCAGCTGGGCTGTGGAAGGATAGGGGACCACTAGGTGGAGGCCAGGGGCCATGGACAGGACCTTCTGCCAGTGCCCAGTCCCCCTTTGGTGCCCAGTCCTCTCTGGAGCCTGGACTGGTGGAGGGCACTCCCCGCAGTGGCCTGGGGGCCAGCTCAGGAGCCACACCATCATGCATCTACTCTGCAGTTGGTGTCAACAAAAGGACGAGGGACAGGACGGCCCAGGGAGGAAGCCTCTCGCAGGGCCCTTCCTCAAGTGACAGGCCTGGGGAGGAAGGGCGGGTGAACTCCAGCACTTCCGCCCTGCTGACTCCTGGGCCCGGTTCCCAGCCTGCCTCCTGGCCCATGCCAGCATTCTGATCAGCAGGTCTGGACCGGACACCGGGAACCGCATCTGCATCGAGTTCATGGGCGCTGCTGCGGCTGTGCGCCCGAGGACCGCACTCGGAGAACCGCGGTTCCTGAGTCTTCTTTCCAGCGGGCAGGCAGAGCCAGGCGGCCCCTTGTCGCTTGGGTCCCGCTGGGGACCCAGTGGCACATCCGGGGTGAGGACAAGCCGGGGACCGAGCTTGTGGCCAGTTTTGCCACTGTAGCGGTGCTTCCTGCGTGATCGTAGGTGCGCACAGTAGCCAGTTGTGTTGGCACACGGTAGGCCCACGTATTGGCATGCCCTTGTGCTCCTGCGGGCAACACAGTGCTGGTGGGAGGCTGGGGCGGGTGGGGTTCTGTGCCCAAGAGCCAGTGTCACCAGCGTGGCTCCAATTGGGCAGGACCCTCCTCCAGGGTCCGTGGGAGCGCGGCTGGGGCAAGGCCACAGAAAGGCTGCTTGCCGCGCATTTTCCCAGGCGCCGCCCAGCTGGCTCCCCACGGAGCCTGGCTGTTGAACTGTGAACAACTGACTCTGGGATTTCGAGAATGTGGCATCAGCACTCCTAGTTGACCAAACCATTGTCAGATAAACCCTGAGCAGTCACCGGGAAACTGCGGCCCTCCCCCCTGGCTCCCCCTCAAAAACTGGAATGACATGAGCCTGTGGTTCTGGAAGGTCCCCAAGCCCCTGGGGTTCGGGTGAGACTGACTTGCCGGCCCTGGGCTCGGGGTGTAACTGGGCAACTGCTGGGTTCTACAGGCCGAGCCAGGGTGGCTCCGGACTCCGAATCTAGCGGCCTGGCCACCCGGGACCCACAGGAAGCTGAGCCCCTTCCCTCTGCGGAGGAGCGAGGGTCGAGAACTGGGGGTGTCACAGTAGCCAGGCACTGAAAAGCTGGCCAGCACTGGCAGACGTAGTGTCGCCGAGAGAGGGGCTGGGTACCTGGCTGGACGGGTGCAGGGCGGGGGCTCCGAAAGCTGCATCAGCCGAAGGGGCCCTGGCAGCTTCCCTGTGCGGAGGCTTTGGCCAGGGACTGGCAGCTTGGATCCCAGAGCAGTCCCGGGGACCCAGGGTCACCGTGGGGATGGACCCTGCGTCTTCTCTGTCCTGTGAAGTCCAGGAGGGAGGCCTTCGGGATGTTCGGCCCGCCTCCTGCTCCGGTCACGGCTGCAGTTTGGCTGCAGTTTAAACACGGTGGAGATGCGGAGATGCTAACCAAAAATGACACACTGGCTCCCCAAATGCCGCCTAGACTCCAGGAAACGATGGTGCTAAAGGGCTCCCCGGTGCCCAGCCTTGGGCTGTCTGTTCCCCTGGTGGCAGCAACCTGGTCTGTGTGCAGTGCCACCCAAGCCCTGTCCTCAGCAGGACGTCAAAGGAAGGCTCTTGGAAGGCTCTTCGCTTGGGGCCAGGGGCTGTGTAGCCCTGGTGGTGAATCCTTGGGCACACCTCGGGGCCAGCCCCCGGGGTGGTGGGAGGCCTCCTCTTTTGGGAGAGCCGAGTGTCTGTGGGGTGACGAATGGTACCCACGACGCGCTGGCCACACCGCAGAGCTCACAGAGCGAGCCTTGGCCGTGAGCCTGTAGGAAAGCACCGTCTCCAAGGCCCTGCACCCTATGATGTCATTTGTGTGAAATCCACAGGGACAGAAGCAGATGCCTGGTCGCCAGGGGCTGGGGATGTGAGTGTTCCTGACTCAGGGTTCTTGGGATGACAGGAATGTTCTGGAATGAGGGGGTGGTGGCTGCACCGCTGTGCCGGGAAGAGCACGTGAGATGGAATCATGCCGCATGGACTGAGGAGGGCCAGGCCTGCGCATGGTGCCGCGGCCGTTGCCTTGGAGAAGCTGCACGGTGGGATCCCTGGGTGCAGGGATCAGGCTCCATCCAGGCCTGCTGTGACCTGGGTTCCCTGCTCTCAGGGGCACGTGTTTCCCATGAGACACCAGCGCATCTCCATCCCCTGAGGTGACGCCGCCACCTGTGGACAGGTTTGTGGCCCTGAGCTTGGGTGGCGCATGGGCTCTGTGCCATGCTGGCCTGGAGGTCCCAGAGAGCCGCTAGGAAGACAGAGCCCTCCATCCGGGACGAAAGAAGTTCCTGGGGCGTCGAGGGCCTCTGATCAATGACGCCAGCCTTGCCCGTGAGCTTCCGTGAGGCCCGGCCCAGGTCCGGTGTCCTTCTGCCCTGTGCTGGGGGAGCAGGCACGCTGCTCTGTGGAGTTGTTGGGTCCCTGGGAAACCCCCAGCGCCCTGCTGGGATGCAGAAGTCGGACGAGATGCGCGGCAGCACGGAAGGAGATGCGATTTCCTGGCTGCAGCCGGGGCGAGGCGGGGAAGCACTCGGATTACGAAGCGGGCACGGAGATTGGGTGTCCCAAGCAGAGGTTCCGGGAGGGGCTTACGCCCCAGGGGACGTCAGGCTCTGCGTGGGGGTGTTTTGGGGTCCTGCCGAGGGGAGTCCCCGTGTCTGGTGTCTGGGGGCTAGTGGGACTGTCTCATTGCTGCCCCGGTGCCTGCTCACGGTGCTTTGGGGACTTGCCTGAGCCCGGTGTTCTTCCTGTTGGCACAGATGACGTCCGGCTGTTCGCCTTCGTGCGCTTCACCACGGGGGACGCCATGAGCAAGCGGTCCAAGTTCGCGCTCATCACGTGGATCGGCGAGAACGTCAGCGGGCTGCAGCGCGCCAAGACCGGCACGGACAAGACCCTGGTGAAGGAGGTGGTGCAGGTACTGCCCCGGGTCCCCTCAGGGTGACACGGCAGGTGGGGCTGGTGTCCAGCTGTGACTTTGTGGTCACTCTGGACCGGAAGGCGGCCGGGGAGATGTTACTAACGCTGCCTCCGGATGTGGACTGGGGGCAGGCGACTGTGCCGTCCTGGCGGCCACCTGGCACATTGTGATGGCTCCCTGAGGTGCCCACCAGCATCTGGGGGCGCGTGCGTGTGCCTCTCCCCGCCCACCTTGAAGGGGAGCCTGGTCGCGCTTGCCGACGCCCTGTTCAGCCGTATGAGGGACACGGGGCGGGGTTATGGTTTGGTGACTGCGGATGACAAAGGTGTCCCTGTCTGGCTGAAGGACGAGGAGCATGGGCTCCCTTGGCTTTGGTTCCAAGCCCCGACGCTCTCCCGGGCCGTTCTGACTCAGAGCCCTGTCTGTTCGCTGTGAAAGCAGATGGGTGCTGCTGGGAACGCGAGAGGTTGGTGGCTTGCAGGGGTCACCCCAAGAATGGAACATCTGATTCCAGAGAGAGCAGGGCCAGAGCGCTGTCCTCACCGCAGGCACTGCGGTTTGCAAGAGGAGCCCAGGCCTCCCTTTGTCCTCCAGTGTTTAAAGCTGCCTGGCCGTCCTCTTAGCAGTACCCAATGCAGAGGGCACAGGGCGCCACCACCTGCCCTTGCCACGCTCATTGTTTTAAAGATGCAAAACAGGGTAATTGGGCCAAAATAAAATAAAGTTTAAAAAGCCAGAAGCTAACTGTGAGATCGGGTGACAGAGTATAGGGTTTCTTTGGGAAGGGATGAAAATGTCCTAAACTGACTGCCACAGTGGTCTTGCTTAGCTGTGTGTTTGCTAAAGCCACTGAATTGTGAAAAACAAAATCAAAAGCAAGTACGGCTGGGCTGGGGATGTAGCTCAGTGGCATAAGCGCGTGCCTGGCAAACGCAAAGTCATGAGTTCAGTCCCCAGTACTGCAAAAAGAAAGAAGAAAAAAAAGCAAGTATGGCTGCATGTGGTAAGGTAACAGGGATTAGAATCAAGGACAGAAAAACGTGAAATCCAAACGAGGTCTGGAGCTGAGTTCATCCTAACACGTGCCTGTTAGCTTCCCCACCGTGACGGATGTGCCTTGGGAATGGGAGAGACTAACAGTTCTTTAAACATTTTGTGTTAGCCTGAGTTAATTTTTTTTTTTTTTTGAGATAGGGTCTCTTTATGTAGTTCAGGCTGGCTTCAAACTCATGGTGATCCTCCTGCCTCAGCCTCCCAAGTGCTAGGATTATAGGCATGCCCCACCTTTCCTGGCACTGGTCCTTGTTTGTGATACACAGCTGCACCTTCATCGTGGGGAGCTGGTCCTTGCACTAGCTGGTGTCTGGGCCCTTTTTCCTCCCTTCCTCGGCAGCCCCCTTAGGTCCCCTTCCTTTCTGCAAAATACCCACCTCCCTGTTTCCTGTTGTCTTTTATTTTGCTCTTTCAGTTACTTATCCCTGGGTTTCTCATTTGCCATAGCTAACCACCTGCCTCTGTCTGGTCTCAGAGGAGGCTGGCAGTGGAGGAAGTGGTGTGTGTGTCAGGAAGGGGCTAAGAAGGAAACTCAGTTATCTCTTGCAACTTTTCTGTATATCTGGTTCTTCCTGAATTAAACTGGGATGGTTGATACATTGTGTCAACTTGACAAGTTTAGAAGCTTAACTCAGTAACTCAGCAGTTTTACATCCTGGGGTTTACAGGACATGCCCTGAGCCCTCTAAGCTCTAAGATGTTTACTGTGTCAACTTGAGAAGTTAGAAGTTTAGTTAAGTGACTCAGCAGGGGGACAGGGGCCTGGCTTTGTTAACATGCTGAGCCTGTGCACCAGGAGGGCATGGAGGCTGTGTGAGTGCTACACCCAGGGAGAACGAGGGCGGGCAGCCTGTTTAGGGTGTGAGGGAGGAACAGAGGCTTGCTGTCCCCCCACCTTTGGTTCTTGTTGCTTTGCTGTCTTCTGCCACCTTGAACGGTTGCCCCTCACCATGCCACCCTGCCTGGAGCCAGCTGATTATGGACTGCAACCTCCACGCCGGCACCCTGTGTGCTTGCTCGCCCCCGCTCGCCACACCAGCTCCCTGCCCGCACCTGCTCTCTGCCTGTGCTCGCCACAGCCCACAGTGGCTCTCCAGCCCACATAGGTTAATAGCGTTTCACCGTAGGTGGCCGCGGCGAGTCTTTGTGATTGCTGTTCTTCTGGCAGCAGCGCCCCGCTTTACAAGTGCACCCTAACGTACTGAATGTTCCTGCTCTTGGCCTCATGAGTTGCTTCCGATTTTATTTTTATAAATAATGTGCTCGCCAGCCTTTCCAGCTGGGAAGTTCCTCTCTCTCCTCTGGAACGGCTTCTTTGGATTTCATGCTCGGGAGTGGGGCTCCGGGGTTAGTGGGCACAAGAATCCGTTTCTGTAGGTCTGGGCTGACCAGCCACCTTTTCGAAGGCTAGTGCTCTGCTGGGACTGTGCGAGCCCTTGGGTCAGTGCTGTCCGCTGTGTCCTGCTGTGCACCAGAGTTTCTGCTCATTCCTCGTAGTTTTCTTCCGGCCCAGATGTTTCTGGCGTTTGAGATAAGATATTATATATTCCAGGCTGGCTTTGAATTCTTGGAGATCCTCCTGTCTCAGCCTCCCAAGGGTTGGGATTGTAGTTGTGGGTCATTACTCTTGGCTCAGTCCAGTTGGGTTTTAATGGCTGACTGGCTGCAGGGGTGTCCTGTCCCCTGGCCAAGGTTTCCGGTGGGCCAAGAGGCCCAGGCACCAGCAGAGGAAGCCAGCTGGGTGTCCAGCGGCCTGTCTGTTTCCAAGGCTGTGGTAAAACAGTGACACAGCATGCAGCATTCTAACCACTGCAGACCCACAGGCTGGGGCCCCAAGCGCACTCCCGGAGTCACATGGCTCCCACCTCTGCCGCTCCAGAGTGAGTCCACCTGAGGCGGCCGGGTGCCCGGTGTACAGTGTGCAGGTTTCTGTCTGTTCTGGAGCCATCTCTGTGAGGGCTTGGACTGGGGGGAGGCTCTGGGAGACTCCGGAGGTGGAGAAGGCTTAGAATTCATTTCTGTGCAGGCTCCAGGGAGTGGAGCCGGGAGGGGCCTCGCCTGGCTGTGGGAGCTGGGAGGGAAGGGGCTTCAGCGTCAGGCATGGCTGTACTGGGGCTCTAGCACTACTACTGTCCGCCCCGTGCCGCCTCCACTAAACCCATGTGGTCTGGTGTGCCTCAGTTTACCTCTTTCTTTTGAGACGGGGTCTCCCTATGTAGTCCAGGCTGGCTTCCAACTCACGGCAATCCTCCTGCCTCAGCCTCCCAAGTGCTGGGATTATAGGCGTGTGCCACCACATCCGGCTCTCCCTCTTTTTATACAGTGGGACTTGGGGCAGGTGCTTTCTGAGGGGCCTCCTGGAAGGGCCCCTGCGGATTGTGTGTCTGGGAGGGGCCCCTCCCCCACTGTTTGCAGGTGAAGACAGCTTGTGGACCTGTAGCTCCCAGTTAGTAAGAAGCCCTTTGCTTTTGTTAGAATGAGAGACCTAACGCAGCTCGTGCTGTGTGCAGTGTGGAGCGCGGCACTGTACGTTACGGTTCCGGCCCAGGGCAGGGCTCTCCCTCCTGGGCCTCAGTGTCCCCCTCTGTAGGAGGAAGGGTTTGCTGAGTTGCTGTCTTGTGTGTGCCCTGCTCCTTACTGACGGGCTCTGAAACGTTCCCTGGTAATTGCCTTCGACAGACTCTTACTGGCGCAAGAGCAGTGGGACGCAGTGGTCCCCGCGTAGTGTTGGGGGCAGATGGCGTGGGCTCACGTCCTGGCCCGTCGCTGACTGCAATTCCCGTCTCCAGGTGTCTGCAGCGAGTGTGGGGGTTTGTCGGGGTTGCTGTGGGGATGAAATGCTCCCAAGGGTCCCTGGCGATTCCCCCTGGGAACAGCGGCTGTGTCCCTAGTTTCCCCTTAGCCGCGCGTGGCCAGGGCCGGAAGCATTTCCGGTTGTGGCCGGCTCCTTAAACAATGGCAGACGCCTTGAGCTCGGGCCACGCGTGGACCTCTTTGTGCACCTGTGGCCCAGCTGTTGTGCACACAGGAGGGTCCTGCTGTTGCCTGGCTGGCTCCAGACAGTTCGCCCGCGTCGGTGACTGGCACACAGCTGCATTCACATCCAGGGAAACTGAGGCCCGTGTGATAGCACTTGCCCCAAACCCACGGCCAACAAGCAGCAGAGCTGGGGCCAGAGTCGGGAGGCATTAGAGGGCAGGAGGCCGGGCCCCAGGTCTACTTTTTGAGAGGCTGAGGAGGCCCAAGACTGGGAGAACCAGAAGAATCAGACCGGTGTCCCCAGGCATGCCCAGGCCTCGGGGCAGCAAGGTGGAGCGGCCCAGGGCCAGAGGGCAGGGACTGACTGCAGCTGCGTGCCACCCCGCATCACAAGGCCAACTCGTGCCTCCCCCCGCCCCCGCCCTGTTCTCTGGCACCTCCGCAGAACCTGGGGGACACTGCGGGGCGCTGCTGAGACCCGCCCAGGGTGGAGACAGCGCCCAGCCTGGCTCCTGTCGCTTCTGTTTATTTTTAAACAGGCTGCCAGTGGGCAGGGAGCCGGAGGGTCCACACGCACTCCCGGCCTGCGCAGATGTGCAGGGACAGCAGCAGAGGCTGTGTCCCCAGAAGGGGCCAGAGGGGCCCACGGGGAGCCTGCCCAGGCTGGGCTCGGGCTCTGTCCCCTCCCGAGGCCCCGTGTGCAGTGTTAGTGACGTGGTTTACTGTGTCACGATAAAGGCCTTTCCAGGTCTGTCTCTTCCCCATCTTCCTGACCCAGAGCTGTGCCAGGATCCCAGGCTGCCTGGCCCCGGGGCCATTTATTCACTGCACCTGAGTTCCCAGCACCAAGCGAGCTGTAAACGCTACTTCTCTAGGCTTGGGCTGTGAACCACACAAAAGATGATCCAAGAAGTCCTGTGGGAAACACCCCTTTTTCCTTTGTGGGCTTGCTCTCTTTTTGAGAC